CCTGCACAGGAGAACAGAGCTGGAAAGCAGGCTAGTGGGGTGGGGAGGGAAGGGAAGGGGGATTTTGCAGTATCCTTCCCCTGCCACGCCCACCAAGACATGGCCACAGAACCGGTAGTAAAAAAATTTGAATCCCACCACTCGTTATACTACCAGTGATAGTAATTTTCCCTCCCCTCCCCGATATTTTCCTCCTAAACCCAACCTGAATCCACTTCCAGGGAATTTCAATCCATAATTCAGGTTCTGCCTTGGGGGCGAAGACCCCAACCTAACTCCAGCCACTGCACAGGAATACCTTTTTAACTTCTTTTTCATTTTTTTTTTTCCTTTTCACACGGGACCAATTCTTATTTTTAGCTGAAACCTGTTCCTGCCACACCAACCGCAGCCTGGTGGGCAGCCCGAGAGAGCGAAAAGTTGCTTTTTCCTCGCAAAAAAAGCCCAGGACTCAGATAGCTTGGCTCATTTCTCTGACCCTGCAAAGGTTTTCCCCTTCTACTGTTGCTAACAATAAAATACACCAAAGCAGAGGCTGGTAGGAGGGGTAGTTGAATGATTACACTTCAGAAAGGGAAACTAGGCGAAAGGTTTTTAGAGAGTGTGATGGGCTGTTACGAAATAGGAAATAAGCCAGAGTGCAAAGAGACTTTTACCCAACGGCATTAAAAGTCCATTTCCAGTCTGATTTAGGGATCTGCCTGCAGGAATATGACATCCATGTAGCCCTCTATATATAGCCATCCGTTTATCCCACACATTTGGTCTTTGCCCTCGGCTCCTTCGTCTAAGAATCACTCAGAATAGAATAGAGCTGAAAGGGACCCTGGAGATCTTCTAGCTCAACCCCCTCAATGGTATAATCCCCTTATACCATTCAAGACAGAATGAAGCATGAAGAGGTGGGATTCAGCCGGTTCTGGCCAGTCCTGGAGAACCAGTAGCGGAACTTTTGAGTAGTTCGGAGAGCCGGCCAATCCCACCTCTGACTGGCCCCACCAACCCCATCTCTGCTCTGCCTCCCATCGAGTCCCAGCT